CGCGTCAGGGGGGAAGCCAAGGAAGACGCAAGGAGCAGCACGAGGGGACAGCTTGTCCGCAGACAAGTCGCGGACAAACGCCCGAGATCCCCAGACACGGAACGCAGACGCATCGCCAACCTTCCCCGTCCACAGCAAAGCTGGGGAGGTCTCCGGCATGGAGACCCTGGGGTGAAGGTTGATCTGATGCGCCGCGTACCGAACCGCAAACGGCCACAGAAAATGGGGGGCAGCCGCATGCATCATGGACGTACGGGCGACGTCCATGACCATGCCAATGCGGCGCTCAGCAATCCCATTTTGCTGTGGAGAGTCCGGAAGCGTGAAGGTCTGGCGGATGCCTCGTGCACGACAGTAGGCTCGCAGAAGGCCAGAGGAGAACTCTCCACCTCTGTCAGAGTGCAGACGCAGAACAGGAAAGTCCGAGCCGAAGCTCTGCCTGAGCTGGAGACGAGCTGCGCGGATCCAGTCGATCAACACCTCAGTGACATCACCATGCTGCGCAAGGGGAAGACCGTGGTGTAACGCGAGTAGTCGTCAACCACCAGCAGGAAGTAGCGCTCGTGACCCTGTCCATGGACGCGGGCCGGGCCCCACACGTCCATGTGAAGCGTCTGCAGCGGGGCCTCTGTCGGAGGAAACTGGGAGGAGTGAGGGGCAGCCCGCTGCTGCCCCTCGACACAAGGGACGCAGGTAGGGCCGGGCCCCGGAGGAAGGGGAGGGAGGGACCGGGGAAGACCAGAGACAAGGACACGGGAGGCCATGCCTCGGAGACGAAGCAGGGAGGGGTGACCAAGGCGGTGGTGCCAGAGGAGAGTCTCGTGCGACAGGAGGCGACACGAACAGGGGGCAGACTCAGGACCAGACCTGGACGCTGCAGCAAACACCTGACCTGACGCAGCTACCTGACCAGACGCAGTGACTGGAGGAGACGCAGTGGTCAGTGTGTACAGGCTCGACCCCGGCCGACGTGTAAACGTGGCCAGGTGTCGGCCTGTCCGAGCGTCCGTGCAGTGGGTTACCCGCTGACTCGCAGGAGTGAACTGGTGAACCCCCGCATCCTGTAGGTCAGCACCACTCACCAAGTTCGTAGAGAACGAGGGGAGGTAAAGACCAGACAGGGTGCCAGAGGGGGCCGCCGGACACGGGAGGACAGTGGAGAAGTGAGCAAGGACAGGACCCCCAGAGGGGTCTGCCAGAGAGACTGCAACTGGCCGGCCAAGCGGCGTGAGTGTGGTGCGGTCTCGAAAGAAGGAGCGAGAAGCCCCCGATTCAAGGGTGAAGGTGTGGGAGGCCGAAGCCGACGCAGTACCTGAGAGAGCAGACTCACCAGCACCTGAGTGAGCAGACGCACGAGCACCTAGAGCAGCAGCCTCGCTAGCACCTAGAGCAGCAGCCTCACCAGTACCTAGAGCAGCAGTCTCAATGCCCGGGTCGCGCGGAAAACACCGGTAACAGTCACCCTCATCACTAATAGTCACAGCATACATGGCAGCAAGAATAGCATCAAAGTCAAGGTCAAAGACAGCTACACCCGCCCTAGACAGCTCGCCCCAGCGGGGGATCTCAGTGGCCTCAGGGAACTGGTGACACCAAGCGTCCGTCAGGCGGCCAAAGCAGCGCTGGGTGGAGTGCGCACCCCCGCACTGCTCACCCGCGCGGTCGCCGGTGCGTAGGACGTAGGTGCACGGACCAGTACCCCCACCCCGCTGGCGTGCAGCGTACCACTCACGGAGCTGCTGAGGGGGGGGGATGTCACGAGTGCGCTGCTGCTGCTGCTGCTGGCGCTGACCACCACCGGAGCCGACCCTCTGCCCAGCGCCACCCCGACCAGCTCCACCTCCTCCGCCGCCGCCTCCGCCACCGCCGCCACCTCCGCCACCTCCGCTCCCACCGCCACCGCCGCCGCCGCCTCCGCCTCCACTGCCGCCACCGACACCTCCACCCCCGCCACCACTCCCACCACCACCCCCACCCCCTCCACTGCCGCCACCGCCACCTCCGCCACCCCCGCCAGCCCCTCCAGCACCCTTGCCCCCCTTGCCCTTGCCGGTGCGGCGTCTCCCGCTCGGGGCAGACGCAGCGCCGACCGACTCGAGACCAACGAGGTCGGCCGCAGCAGCAGAGGCAACAGAGGGCAAAAGGGGGGAGGGGGAACACCCCTCAAAGACGGGGGTGCGAGGGTCACCACGAGAGGCTCCTACAGCGACTATGCTCTTCTCTGCTGCTAGGAGGGCCTTCTCGAGGAGGTCAACGGTGAGAGTGGTGGGGCAAACTGAGAGGAAGTGGTCCCTGACTACGCGAAGGGAGTCAGGGAGCCGGGTGACTATGTAGTAGAGGGTGATGTACATGGGGGGGGGGTTCTTGGCGCAGAACTCAGCAGGAAGCGCAGCGCGGTAGCGAGTGTCACTAGTGCGGAGGTGCGTAATGAGGTCAGCGACTGTGGGAAAGGCAGCAAGGTCAGGGAAGAGGTACGGTAGCATGAGGCGGCTCAGTGCAGCAGTGGCAGGGGAGGAGTAGCGCGCAACTACAGCGTCGTACAAGGTGTGAGCACTCTTGTACTGGCTAAAGTGCGCACGCTCAGAGGTAGGCAGGTGGCGACGCACAGCTAGACGTGCAGCAGCATCGCGTGTGGCCCACTGTGAGCGAACAGTGGCGTCGGCATCAGCAGCAGGGGCAGGAGAGGCACCAGAGGTGAGGTCAAAGAGGGAGAGACCGTCTGCCCTATCGCACTGTAAGAAAAGCTGCAGGTCATCTACCCAGACGTCAAAGTCAATGGCCCGACCCTCAGCGTCAAAGGCGAGGACACTAGGGGTAGCCATGACAGCAGTAGACTAGCAGTGCGAACAGTAGGGTAAGGGCAGTGCAGTGATAGAGGCGCTGCTCTTACCGGACAGGGCGGCTCGGGCGGCTCGGCGGCTCGGCAGGACGGCGGGTCGGCGACACGGCGGCTCGGGCGGCTCGGCGGCTCGGGCGGCTCGGCAACTCGGCGGCCCGGGCGGTTCGGCGGTCGGCTGCTGGGCGGCTCGGCGGCTCGGCGGCTCGGCTGCAGGACGGCTCGGCGGCTCGGGTGCGCGGCTGCTGGGCGGCTCGGCGGCTGGTGTGGTTGGTGACGACCGCGGCAGCAGTCGCAGAAGCTGTGGCGACTGCTGCTGCAGAGACGGCTGCGGCTGCTGCCTCAGGGACGGCGGCTGCCTGCCGCTAGGGGCCGCGAAGAGCGGCGGAGAGGCCGTGAAGGGCGCCACGAGGGGCCGTCGAGGGCGGCGACAGGCCGTGAGGAGGCCGCGGAAGGCGGCTCGAGGGGCCGCGAGGGGGCCGTAAGGGGCCGACTGGCGACGGGAGGGGCCGAAGGGGCCGCGGGAGGGCCCGTAAGGGTAGCGCGAGGGGCCGTAAGGGCGGCACGAGGGGCCGTACGGGCGGCACGAGGGGCCGTGAGGGCGGCGCGACGGGCCGTAAGGGCGGCACGAGGGGCCGTGAGGGCGGCGCGACGGGCGCGACGGGCCGTAAGGGCGGCGCGACGGGCCGTAAGGGCGGCGCGACGAGCCGTAAGGGCGGCGCTAGGGAGCCGTGAGAGGGCCGCTAAGGGCGACGCGACGGGGCCGTGAGGGGCCTAGCGAGGGCGCGACGGTAGGGAGAGCACATAGGGCGCGACTCGGGCCGGAGCGAAGCGCGCTCCGGGCAGGAAAAAAAAAATTTCGTGGTGGTGGGCCCTAGGAATCGTTCCCACTAGGGAACCTGCTCGATACCATGAGAAGAAACGAGGAATGAAAATGACCAAGGGAAAGTTGGGTACAAATGTAAACCCTAGAAAGCTGTACCCCATATGTGCTTCCCCACTATAGCCTACAGTAGCTATGTCATATAAATCTGACATTTGTCAGTAGGCGGTTCCCATTCAGTATCTTAAAAACGGTTTCGATGTCCTGTAGGTGTTGCGCTCTGTCGGGGCTGTAAATCAGTTTGTCATCTAAGTACACGATGACGCACTTATCTAAAAGCGGGCGGAATGCTTTGTTCATCGTCATTTGGAAGGTGGCGGGGGCGTTGGTCAGTCCGAAAGGCATTACCGTGTATTCGAAGGATCCGTAGCATGTACGGAAAGCTGTTTTTGGGCAGTCGGGTGGGTTGACGTGAACCTGGTGGTAACCCCCTCTAAGGTCAATTTTCGAGAAAACCCGGCCTGTGCGCCTAGTTGGTCGATCAGTTCGTCGGCTCGCGGGATGGGGTAACGGGACTTGATGGTAACCCTGTTCAGTGCTCGGTAATCTATGCATTTGCAAAAACCCCGTCCTTCTTCGGTGTGAACAGTATTAGTGCTGCGAAGGGTGACGAGCTCGGGCGAATCAACTCTTTCTCGAGCAGAAAATCCAGCTGCTTCCTCAATTGGGTCGAGGTAGCGAGGATTGCACTAAGGTGTCAAACGAGTACAAAATATGAGCGAAGGCATGAGCGAATACTTATACGCGGATAAGCAAACGGTAACACAGTGCGTGCGAGCTAGCTAGTGCTAGGCTGGCATCAAGGCTCGGGCTAGTTCCGAAGCGTAGGCCGACACGACCGGGCCAGCGGTGCAAGGTTTGGTGAAATAGTGCGCGCGAAGTTGGTGAAGCCCCGTTGCAGTAACGCGCGAACAACGGCTGCTGCTGTACGCGATGTTGCAGGTTGCGGTAAGGAATGTCCAGAAAATTCCTTACAGCCCTATAGATGTTCCTATTAGCATATTTTCCCTTCTAAAAATCCATATGTGCAAATTTCTCCATTGAAGGCAGTACCCTATTTTCTATAGCGATAGATCTCAAGCGTACTTGGTAACCGTGTGTCTAGTTTAAAATTCGCAGAGCCTGCATTCGCTTCCAACTCCTACACACCACTTGCAACACGCCCATTCCATGTCAGCTGCGTGTTGTCGGGTTTTGAGTACTTGAAAAAGCGAACATTTGTTATGTCAATCTTACCACACAGTGCACTATCTACTAACCTAGTCATCAACTAAGCCCCAGATGTACGTCATTCTGCAAGTAGGATCGCAGGCCTACGCTCACCGGCTGTTCCTCTACGTCACGTCAACCACGCTCAAAGTACGCCTGGGAATCGCAGATGCTACTGAACAGCAGCGCTCTTGCCGATTGCGGTGGTTAGTGCGGTTGCGAAACTCGTTAGCGGTTTCGTCGCCTCCCATCCCATCGCAGTGTCACAATTTGCAACCCTAGCCGCCTCAGGAGCGGACCATGCTTTTCGACACAAGAGTAGCGCTCGCATTGTTACACAGCACGCGCGCCGCACCCCCCACCTCTGCAAACATTTGGCAAATAGCAACTCAGATTCAGCTTCTTTTCTGCAGTGATGTTATAAACAGAAATCTCTCAGGGAATAGCTTTGCGTGGGCGAAGGTCTCAAACAAGTAGCAGCGCTTGGCTTTGCTTTTTCCCGTGTGCGTGCGTGACGCATCTACTCATAGACAGCAGTTTTACGGCAGCAATTCCCGGGTTTCGCCGTGCCCTCTTCACGTGCTCATAAACCCCCAACCTCGCTTCTCCCCTCCCCCACACCCCTCTTTTCCCCTTCCCTGACCAAACCCACTTATCTTCTACCCCCTACTCTCTACCAAATCTCTCCCCCGCCCCCCATCCCGCCCCATTCCCTCCTCCACACATCCCACCCTCCTCCCCACCTCCCCCCCTCCCCACCTTCCCCCCTCCCCTCAACCCCCCGCGCAGCTGTTCCCCCCGGGGGCGGTGGCGGGCGCGGAGGAGCTAGGGCCGCACACGGACCACCATGGGGCGGCGCTGGTGCTGCTGCGCGGATGCCGGTTGTCCCCCGCGAAGTTGGTGCAACTCGTAGATTCCACCTTCCTCAGCAGGTGCGTTCTGACTCGACTCAAACACACCCGTTGTGCTGGTGCTGCTGCGCGGTTGCCGCCTGTCCCCTCCCCGGGGGAGTCGGTGCAACTCGTTGACTCCACCTTTATTGAGAATTATTGATAGTGATACAAGAATGCTTGATAGCAGCTCGGTGCTGCCATAACGTGCATGCATACGCCCCTCCTCTCTTCATGTGGCACCTGCGATTGCATGGCATGGCATGGCATGGCATAACGTGTCACTGTATCGTACGACACTGTGTGGCACATGTGGCATGGCATGGCATGGCACATGCGAGCAGGTACATCCATCGCATGTACTGGTGCGAGCATGTGGAGTCCTGCTCCTGGCAGATGGTGGGATCAGTAGCACAGTGTGTGGACGCCCAAGCCCTCGCACAAGTCCAAGCCGAGCTCATGGAGGGAATGGGGGCAGCAACAAAGACAGGGGAGAGTGGTGGTACGCAGAAGGAGGGGGAGGAGGAGAGCAGAGCACGGGTGGTGGAGCAGCAGGAAGAGCATCAGCAGCAGGAGCAGCAGCAGCAGCAGGAGCAGCAGCAGCAGCAGGAGCAGCAGCAGGAGCAGCAGCAGCAGCAGGAGGAGGAGGAGGGAAAAAGAAGAATGCAAGAACAGACCCAAGGCACTGCTCCCTGTGTGTCCATCCGCGTACAGGCCTTTCCCAAGCACTTTGAGCGATGGATTGCCACGCACCTGCCCCCCTCCCTCCCCCTCGACCCCAAGCGCTTCACGCACACCCTCAGTGCTGTTTCCACAGCTCCTCACTTCTTCCCCTTCCATCCCCGCCAGCCCTCCGCACCCCCTTCCCTTACCCCCTTCGACCTGCTTCCCCCCGTGCCCCCATGCTGTTGCAGCAGTGGCGGCGGAGAGGGGAAGGGGAAAGGACAGGGGGGAAGGGAAGGGGAAGGGGGAGGGGGAGAAAATGATGGGGGAGAGCGGGGAGAGGGGAGTAGGGGCGAGGAGCAGGATGCTGCAAAGGGAGAGGACGGGGATGGGCAGACAGCTGGTGGTGTCAGTCGCCTATCTACCAAGGCAGGTTGGTTGGGTTGGTTAATTGCTGTGCTGTGCTGTGCTGGTTTCGTTGCGCTGCGTTGTGCTGCATTGCGCTGTGTTAGTGCGTTAGTGACAGTGCGCTAGTGACTGTGCATTTACGCCCACTCCAATGAATGACTCTTACAATCCCTCCCACATGATCCATTCTATCCATCCATGCAGGAGTCTCCTCACCCATCCACCATCACAGCGCATCCCACCATCCCACACAACCCCCCCTCTTCCACCATCCCATCACCCTCCCCACCACCCTCCTCCTCCTCCTCACTCTCCTCACCACCCTCCACAACTCAAACCTTCCCTTCAGAGTCCTCTCAAAGCTCAAAACTCCCCTCCTCTTCAAGCTCAGAGCCCCATCAAACTTCGCCGTCTGAGCTCCCTGAAACTTCTCGTAACGACCCACCTCGCTGCCCAGCTTTTGAGACTTCCCAAAAGTCCCCTGAAAGCTCAGAGCTCCCTTCCACCTCTGACCCCCATCAAGCTTCGTCCTCTGAACTCCCTGAAAGCTCTCCCAACGACCCACCTCGTCGCACGCGCCGCGACCGCACGCCTCTCCCGCTCGTCCCTCCGGACCCGCGCATCTTCTTCTCGCTGTCCCCCGCGCGCTCCATGTGGCGCCTGGCGAGCGACCGCAAGGCGGGGAGCGACGGCTGCGCCAGCAGCGCTGTGAGCAAGCTGGAGGAGGTGCTGCACGTGGTGGGGTGGCAACTCAGGGGGGATATGACAGGTAAGATCAATCAAGGCCCAGGTATGTTGCTCGATGGAGCTCCCCTTGTATCCTGCGCCAGCAGTGCTGTGAGCAAGCTGGGGGAGGTGCTGCACGTGGTGGGGTGGCGGCTGAAGGGAGATATGTCAGGTGAGGGGGAGGGGGAGGGGGTTATAAGGGTGGTGGTGGCTTGAGGGATAGGGAGGGGTGTAGGGCAGTTGCTTGATTGGTGTGCGATTGATCCTGTGAGCAAGCTGGAGTAGGTGCTGCACGTGGTGGGGTGGCGGCTGAGGGGGGGTTTGGCAAGTGAGGGGTGATTTGGCTGCTTCTCTTTGGTTAAGCGTCTTGAACTACTTCTGATGACATTCCAAGGCATGGCATGCCTTGGAATGAGCTGCTTCTGGATTTCCTGTGTTGATTTCTTAAGTGTGCCATCACATTCCAAGGCATGGCATGTGGTGGAAAGGGGGGGGGGGGGAGGGGGGGGGGTGTGATCGAAATATGAGAGAAGCAAGCAGCAGCAGCAACTTGCTTCGAGCTGCAAAAACAAAGGCGCTCCCTTCTAACCCTCTCCCCTCTCTCCTTTTCTTTCCCGTCCTCCCTCTCCGCCTCCCTCCCTCCATGCAGCCATGGATGTAGGAGCAGCACCGGGGGCATGGACCGAGTATCTGAGCGCCAGGGTGCGCCATGTGCTTGCCATCGACCCTGCAGCCCTCTCACCCGCTGTCACGGCCCGGGGGAACGTCACCCATATCAAAAAGATGGTGAGGTTGTGGGAGGGGGGGAGGGGGTGTTGAAGTGGCTCGAATGAGTACCTATCGTGGCCTGGTCCCTGTGGGGGTAGCTACCTTGTTGTCACGGCCTGCGGGAACGTCACCCATATCAAGAAGATGGTGAGGTTGTGGGGGGGAGGGTGTGGTTTCTAGGCGCTTCAAGAATACTCTTTCAGGTAGTTAAGAGCCCCCTCGCCTGCTGTCACGGCCTGCGGGAACGTAACCCATATCAAGAAGATGGTGAGGTGAGGGGATGGGGAAGGGATCGGGGCTTTGAGGCGGCTGTAATGACTACCTTTAGACGACTACGTTTGACGTGGGTTTAAGCCCTGTCGCCTGCTGTCACGGCCTGCGGGATCGTCACTCACGTGAAGAAGATGGTGAGATCGAGGGTGGGGAGGGATGGGGTGGTGTGGGGGCTTGAGATGGCTATATAGACCACGTTTGAGGCACTTCAAAACTCTGATTATGAGGTGTTTTAAAGGACAGTTTTACAGTTTAAAGATTCCCTTGATATCTGATTTTCAGTGCCGTTCCGATTGTGCTTTGCTGCTTGTATGGCATGTGGTGGCATGAGCAGGTGGAAGTTGCATGGGATGATGTGCAAGCATGGTCCCTGGCATGCCAAGCTGATTCTCGCCCACAGCCCACTGCTGCTGATGGGCATGATACTAATCGGGTGCATGAACCAGGGACTGACACCGCTGTAGCCAGCACCACCACCAGCAGCACCAGCACTGGCAGCACCAGCAGCAGCAGCGGCGGGATTGCCAACAGTGCAAGCACCGTACCCCTGTCAGCAGGGAGCAGTGAGCATGGTGGTGGTGCAGCAGCTGCCATGTACCATGGTCTGTTCTGTGACGCCAACAAGCACCCCCTGCAGGCGGCAAAACTCGAGTCAGCAGGGAGCAGTGAGCATGGTGGTGTCAATCTTGAGAATTCTCAAGGGATTTCTCAAGAGCGTGATGCTGCAGCAGCTGCCATGTGCCACGGTCTGTTCTGTGATGCCAACAAGCACCCCCTGTAGGCTGCAAAGCTCGTGGCACCGCTGCTGCCGGCGCTGGCCTCGGGGGGAATACTTGTGGTCACCATGAAGTGCCGGGGACGGGGCAGGTGAGGAATGGATTTGAGTCTTGACTTTTGAGTTGACTCAAAGGTCAGCCTTTGAGTCTCAACAGCCTGCGCTGGCCTCGGGGGGAAGGTGAGTGAGAGGCCTCCGTGTGTCAATGGGGTGTGTGGGCATTGCTTGGTGAGTCGACTCAAAAAGCTGCCGAAGGGGAAGGTTAGGGGCTGCAAGGGCCTTCATTGTTCCAACCCCACCTCTCGTTGATCCGTGCCCCTCTGCATTCATTCCTCTCCTCTGTCTCCTTTCACTCATGACAAGCTGTGCGTGTGACGTCTCCTCTCCACTCCGCTCCTCTACTCTCCTTTCTCCCCCTCTCCAATTCTCTACTCTCCTCCCCCCTCCCCTCCTCTCCTCTCCTCTCTTCTACGCTCCGCTCCTCTGTTCTCCAACAGTATTGCCATTCAAACGAGCCCACTGATATTGGTAATAAATTTTGAGACGTCTCAAAAGGTCTCTCCTCCCTGGCCCCCCCGTCCTCTCCTCTCTTCACTTCCTGCCAGGTGCATATTTGAACGGCAACCGATTCACTATTCCAAACGAGCCTATTGCTATTGGTGATGCCGCAATTGGTGTGGGCTTTCCATCCAACGTACGTGCACATGCACACATGCACACATGCACACATGCACACATGCACACATGCACACATGCACACATGCACACATGCACACATGCACACATGCACACATGCACACATGCACACATGCACACATGCACACATGCACACATGCACACATGCACACATGCACACATGCACACATGCACACATGCACACATGCACACATGCACACATGCACACATGCACATGCACATGCACATGCACATGCACATGCACATGCACATGCACATGCACACGCACACGCACACGCATGCACACATGCACACATGCACACATGCACACATGCACACATGCACACATGCACACATGCACACATGCACACATGCACACATGCACATGCACATGCACACATGCACGTGCACACATGCACATGCACATGCACACAAGCACACATGCACGCGCACACATGCACATGCACACATGCACACATGCACACATGCACATGCACATGCACATGCACACAAGCACACATGCACGCGCACACATGCACATGCACACATGCACACATGCACACATGCACACATGCACATGCATCCTAGCAACGTTCCCTCAACCACCCTTTGCTTCGTTCTTACTCTCCATCCAAGCAACGTTACCCCACCCACCCACCCGGAAGTAGACATGAGCAACGGGCGAACACCAAACATGTTCGGTTCGCCCTGCACGAACATGCGAACGGGGCGACCCGAACATGTTCGGTTCGCCCGGACATTTTTTGGGGATTAGGGGTGTTCGAGGTTCGTGATAGGGGGGCGAACATTGCATGTTCGGGGCGAACCCAAACATGTTCGAGGTTCGAGCGTGTGTTTTCAGTGGGCCAGCTCCTCCCCCGTTCCCCCCCCCCCCCCCCCCCCCCCCCCCCCCTTCCGAACATCGAACATGTTCCGCCGAAACATTTTTGGCAAAAAAACATGTTCGGTTCGGTTCGGTCATTAACATGTTCGGACGAACCGAACAGGCGTTCGGAAATTTGCTTATTTCCAGGCCGGAAGCAACCACACCCCACACCTTTTGCTTCGCACCTTCATTGCTACTTGTTCCTGCTGTTTTGTACGGTTTGGCATGGCTTTGCTCTACTCTTTCCTTCTCTTACAGGACAATGCATCCTGTATTGTATGTACCCGTGTTAGATCCCCAACCCTTCCGTTTTCTATTATCTGCCATCCACATCCCCTGTGCTGTGACTCCGCGCAGCCAGAGCAGCGGCAGCGAATGATGGAGGCTGTGGCGGCAGTGGCACCACACGCCAGAACCATGACGGCCTTTGGATCCGCGGTGGGGAATGGGGGAGGGGGAAGGGGGGCTGGGGGGATAAGGGTAGTTTTGAGAGCGCAGCAGCAGTGGCACCACATGCCAGGACCATGAGGGCCTTTGGATCCGCAGTGGGGAACAGGGAAGGAGGGAGGATGGGGGAATGGGTTAGGGGGTTGGGGTAGGAGTGAGGGGGAAAGGGGTAATTTTAAGAGTCTGAAAATAGTGACAACAGTTTCAACTGGTGGGGATGCAGTGGCAGCAGTGGCACCACGCGCTAGAACCATGAGGGCGCTTGGATCAGCGGTGGGGAATGGTGGATGGGGAACGGGGAAGGGGGATGGGGGAATCGGGAATGGGCGAATGGGGAATGGGGAAGGAGAGCGGGAAGCGGATGTGTGGTGCGGCATGGCGTGGTCCGGATCGTCTGTTGATACAGTATTGCATGCCACTGCATCTGCTTGTTCGCTACACCACAGCACCCAATGCTTTCCCTTTGTGTCCTACCTTCATGCCTTCCGTTCCTCCATTATTTTCACCCCATCGTTATTCTCACCCCATCGTTATTCTCATCCCATAAAATTCTCATCCCATCATTCCACCATACCCTTATCCCCTTTCTCCTTCCCTCTCCCCTTCCCCCTCCCCTTCCCCTCTCCCCTTCCCTCTCCGCTTCCCCTCTCCCCTTCCCCTCTCCCCTTCCCCCCTCCCCTTCCCCTTTCCCCATCCTAGGCTCTGCATATGAGCTACGTGGCAGCAGGTCGCCTCGGTGCTTTCTTTGAGGAAGACCTCAAGGTAACTCCTGAGAAATTCCAAAAACCACCTGCTCTGCAACAAAGAGGAAGTGTAACGGATGCCACATTTGATAAATCCACGACTAATTCAAAACAGGCTTCTCGTTTTCCCAGTACGCTCATAAGTTCTTAGCTGAGTGAAAAGATGAGTGATCAACACATTGTTCACCGTGCCATTGTCTCGTTTCCCACCTGCTCACCCCTACTCACCTGCTCACCCCTACCCACCTGCTTGTGCCAACAGCCATGGGATGTGGCAGCAGCTCACCTCCTTGTACAGGTAACCTTCTTGTACCTTTGAGATTTCTACAAACTGACTCCTCTTGCACCTTCTGCTGTGATTTTTAGCGCCTAAAAAATCCTTCTTGTACTGGTAACCCTCTTGCACCTTTGAGAATTCTCAAAACTGACTCCTCTTGCACCTTCTTTCTGCTGTGTGTCGGAACACACTCTGTCTCCCTCTCCCCCTCTTTCTGCCCCGTTTCTCCCTTTCCCCAGGCACATCTTCCCTTCCCTTACACATGCCGAATTGCATTCGTTCTTGCCACTTCCCCTTCCTCTGACCACCCATTAGAACCACTCGCATCGCAATTCCTCCCACCTTACATCTCCTGGCTTATCAGTCCCCCTGCCTCCTACGCCCATTCACTCGTTTCCTCCCCTTTCATCCCACCTCCTCCCCCTTCCCCACCTTTCCTCCCCCTTCTTCCCACTTCGTCCCCCTTCGTCCCCCTTCCACCTCCTTCCCCCCCCTTCCCCCCCCTTCTTTCCCTGCAAGCAGGAAGCAGGGGGGTGTGGTAACCAGCATGGCAGGGGAGCCACTCAAGTTGAGTGGGGGGTCTGTTCTGGCAACCAGTGGGGGTCAGCAGCTGCACTCACACATCCTCTCACTCATTGCCAATGAGAAGGCTTGAGGCTAAGTTGCTGCTAAGCTGTGGATTTGAATGATCGACTTTTTGCCATGTCTTGTCAACTTTCAATAAGTTGTTTTCCGTAGTACTGAAGTGGTGAAGGTACCATATCTGTGGGGTATGCAGTGATGGAATGCGGAGATGTGATATTACCCATTTCCATGGACTCTCTGAAACAAATCAGGACTGGAACAATGGAGAATTTGTGTATTCAACGGGTCTTAGAAAAATACAGGATTCACAAGAATGGTAGTACTTCTCATGATGTATTTATGATGGTTGGAAACGTTCAATGTTATGACGAGAAGCATTGTACAGTTGAGTATACGCTCGTGGTGGTGCTTGGCATGTAGGCTCGTGGGCGTGGTACATCGACGAAACGACACGACAATTGATACTACATGTGAGGCATCTGTTTCAAACCGCAGAATCCACGAAATTGTCACTTTCTTGTCCGTTCGAAACAACATTGTCCGCCCACCATACAGCAGAGAAGTTAAAGCTGTTACCACCTATCACACGATTTCCCCGTGGCGAAACGTAGAGCGACATATTCGTTCGGTTTAGACTGCTACCTGAAGTTCGTGTCCCTTGAAGAGGCTAGGCAAGGCAGCATTCGTATAATTGCTGACTGACGGTGGGTCTCTTCATTCGAACCCGGGACCAGGACTCGGAAACGCAGGGAGGGCAAAGTCAAAGTTACTCGCAAGGAAATCCCTTGGTCGCGAACGTTTGTGAGCCAAAGCTCTCTCGTGGCGACAGCGGTAGTTTCGTTTCGTCCTCAACTGCTGCCCTTTCACACTACGAATTGGTACGGTACGCAGGAATAATTTGGTTTCCCCCACTCCCTTCAAGTGAAGTCCCTCAGAAGGTGATTTCCGCGTGAAACCATGAAGTGGCATGGCAATGGCAGTCGTCCTCACGCCTTTCCCATCATCATCACTTCGTCCTTGACAAGAGGAAGTATTGTACAGTACAAATCTCTTGACAGGGTAAGTCAAGTGGTACACTGTACAGTGAGGAGAATGACACGGAAGCCCCTTCGAAGTTTGAAACAAATTCCGTCAGCGGGGCTAACGCGGAATTTCTTGTAACCGCTGTTGTGAACGCGACAAGTGTGGGGTGTGGTGTGGAAGAGCGAGAGACACGTGAGCATTGAGTTAGCTCCTGCTGGTGCTGCTGCTGCCTCTGCTGCATTGAGTGACAAGCAAGTTCCGTATGACCGTCGCAGCGCACGCGCCGCCTTTAGCTGGAGCGTTGGCCTCGCGCAACTGGCGGTAGGGTTAACCTGCTGGCGCAATGGCTTTTCTCGCCTTAACTTTGAATCGGGGCGAGCCTCGAATCATGTAAGCTCCGAATTAGGGACAACCAGGGCGAAATGTGAATTAGGGCGAAGCCGAAATTAGGGCGTAACGGAACTTAAGGTTAGATTCTGTCTGAGGCCCAATCAGGGCGCAGGTATTACAAGACGCTACGCGGGGCGCAGGAATTATAAGACGCGACGCGTGAAGCAACTCGCTCGATGGAAGAAAGAGGGCGTAGCGAAGGGAGAGTAAAGAACGATTCGGATAGATCGAGAACCGTGGAAGCGTTTTTCAAGAATAGCGACGTCGCGGGAGAGAGAGAAGGCCGCAACGCGGCGACTCGCGGATGGAATTCCCGAGAAGACGGAAAGGATTCTAATAAGGAAGGGAAGGAGGCGGCGCGCGGCTTTCCCGTTCTTCTCCGCTCCTTGTCTCTCCAGTCCGGCTACGACTTCAGCTCCGCGCGGAAGCGGCGCGGCAGTGGCAGAAACCCGTTAAAGGCTGCCTCGGAACAATTCACGGGTGCAGTTCGAAGAGGGGTCGATTCCCGCGCCGCGCGTGAGATGCGTGAAAGCTCTATCGCTGAACGTCGTGTTGCGGGAGGAGAAGGAGAAGCGGAAGGGGAAGGGGACGGGCACGAAGGGAAAAGAGGAGGACGAGGAAGGGGAGGAGTAGGAGAAGCGGGGGGAGGAGGAGGAGGGGTAGGGGGGTCAGGTGGTAGTGACGGCACGGGCAGCTGCGTAATCTCGACGGCTACTGCATACGCCACCGACCAGGCCTCGGGATCCGCCCGCTCAACAGCGCGTTCGTCCGCCGCCGCTCCTTCTGCTCCTTCCGCCCCTTCCGCCCCTTCCCCTTCTTCCGGCCCTTCCGCTCTTTCCGCTCCTTCCGCTTCTTCCGCCATACTGGAAGCCATGGCTGCGCTCGCAGTCTCCCCCTTCGCGCCTTCCGCCTCTGCTGCGCAATCTCCGCTTCCTTCCAACCCCTCTCACCGTCCCGCCTCGTCCTCCCGCTCTCCGTTCACATCGGGACGTGCCCTGCTCCGAACCACCTCGGCCGAGCCTGCCGTTCTGGCTTGGAGCCACGGCTGGCCGCCCTCGACTAGGTCCGGCAGCAGCCGCCCATCCGCAGCTCAACCGAAGCAAACCGAGCAGGTGTACGTGGACCAGGAAGGTCTGGGGCAGGTAAATTCAGGGAAGGTGATTTCGGGGCAGGGAAACCTCGGGCAGGCTAACGTGCAAGTGCAACAGCAGCAGCAGCAGCAGCAGCAGCTGCAGCAACAGCCGAAGAAGAAAACTCGGCGGCGGTTTCAATACCACGATTTACCACACCCAAGGTCGGTAGAGGGTGGCATGAACCTGGATGGAGGCGAGAGGAAGGGAGAGAGAGGGGGGAAAGGAGGGGTTGAAGGGTCAGGAGGTAGAGGAGGAGGAGGAGGAGGAGAATCCGACGTGGAAGGAGGAAACACACCTGAAGAAAGACGTGCAGAGGGGGGAGGGGGCGGAGAAGCGGAAGGATGGGGGGAAGGAGGATCGGGAAGCGGAGGAGGGGGAGATGGAGGAGGGGCAACAGGAGGAAGAGAGGAGCGGAGGCAGGGGCGCAAGGGGAGGCATCGCAAGACGTTGAGTCTGGACGGGAGGGTTCTTGTGGGAGCGCTGATTGAGGGACTCGGCCTCTCGAAACGTGCTGCTGCTGCTGCTGTTTCCCCTCCTCCTCCTGCTGCTGCTGCTTCTGCTTCTGCTTTCCCTACTGCTGCTGCTGCTGCTGCTGCTGCTGTTGCTCCTGCTGCTTTTCCTGCTGCTGCTTCTTCTGCTGCTTCTGCTGCTTCTCCGGCTGCTGCTGCTGGCACTGCTGCTACTGCCGCTGCTTCTCCTTCTGCAGCTTCTGCTGAGGCCTTCAACGTCACTACTGCCTCTGCAGAGCCCTTAATGCATGCAGCAGCAGACACAGGCCGTGATGATCCCAGGAACGAGTGTGGTGATGAGAGTGGCAGCACCCACGGAGGGAGGAGTGCTGCTGCTGCAGAGGAGAAGGGTGGTAGTGGCAGTGGCGACAGCAGTAGCACTGGTATTGGGAAAGAGGAATGTAAGGTTCAATCAGACCCCTCAGATGCAGCAGCAGCAGCAGCAGCAGCAGCAGCAGCAGCAGCAGCAGCAGCAGCAGCAGCAGCAGCAGCAGCAGCAGCAGCAGCAGCAGCAGCAGCAGCAGCAGCAGCAGCAGCAGCAGCAGCGGCAGCAGCGGCAGCGGCGGTAGCACCAGCGGTAGGCGCAGCCGCTGATAGAGGAGGAGGAGAAGTAGGAGGAGGAAGAGGAGGGGGAAAAGCGAGGGGGAGACATCGCAGAACGCGCAGCTTAGATGGGCCGATTTCCATGTGGGCCTTTGGAGGGCTGGGGAAGATTAGCGGCAGGCAAACAGACAGGGCGAGAGAAAGGGAGCAGGCAGGCAGTGGCACAGGAACCCCCAGTCCTAGAATTGTTGCTGCTGCTGCTGCTGCTGGTGGTGCTGCTGGTGCTGCTGCTGGTGCTGCTGCTGCTTCTTCTCCTCGTCTTGCTGACTCGGCAGATGGTTTAGGTCAAAGGGGAGGTAAAGTAGAGGAATATGCAGCACCAGCAGCAGCAGGTACAGAAGCGGTGACGGAGGGAGGTTTAGAGGGGGCGTGGAGGAAGGGCAAGGGTGGGAAACGCAGCGGTCTTAAGATGGTTATATTCTTGGACAGATTTGGTAGTGGTGCTGCTGATGCTGCTGCTGACGGTGCTGATGCTGCTGGCAGTGCTGGTGATGCTGCTGCTGGCGGTGCTACTGCTGGCACTCCTACTGCTGCTGCTGCTGCTGCTGCTGCTGCTGCTGCTGCTGCTGCTGCTGCTGCTGCTGCTGCTGCTGCTGCCGGTGCTGCCGGTGCCAACAGCGAAAGGTTGGCTGGCAGCGAGGGACAGGATCCATTCAGTGCGTCTCCTGGCGTTAGTTTCTTCGGAGGTGGTGGAGGAGGAGGAGGGATAAGAGGAAGGGCAGGAGGAGGGAGTGGGCGGAAGGGAGCACTAGCAGCAGGGCTGCAGGCATTAATCAGCCCGCGTGTAGGTTCTGTCACTCGGTCGTTCTTCTCCCCCATGCCGTCCCCCACCACCCCTCCTGTGCTGGGTCACACACAGTGGGGAGGGGGATCTAGGTCTAAGGGAAAGAATGCTCCTCCTTCTGCTTCTCCCCGTGGGGGTGCTGGGGGTGCTGCTGCTGCTGCTGCTGCTGCTGCTGCGACTGCTGTTGCTGCCACTGCTGCTGCTTCTGCTTCTGCTTCTCCTCGGGGGGGTACTGCTGCTGCTGCAGCTTCATCTGGTGCGGCTGCTTTTTCTTCCTCTGCCACCGCCGCAGCAGCTGCTGCGTCTTGTTTCGCGTGCACGGGGGACGATGGTGATAGCACCGTTGATGGGAACCCAGGGGAGCGTATTAATATGAGCGAGGCTGGGGAGTGTGAGGGTGGAGGAGAGTGGAAGGAGGCCGAGAGCAAGGGGAACGTGGAGAGCAGGGGGGCAGCACAGCAGGGAACTAGAGAAGCGCCAGCGCTGCACACGCCGTGTGCAGATCGGTGGGAGACGTCAGGAACACCCGTTTCTAAGCCAGGTGACGTGGCAGCTGACGTGGCAGCTGATGTGGCAGCTGACGTGGACCAGTTTGCAGCCAGTGCCACCCTCCCGTGCGAGCGTTCTGCCCGCGGAGAAGAAGAAGAAGAAGCTGCTAGTGGTGCAGAACACCCAGCAGAGTACCCTGTGCTGGATCTCCAGCACAGGGTACTCTGCTGCCCAGCAATTGCTTCACTTGAGGCCATTGGATCTCCAACCTGCGTTCCTCTTTCTCTCACCACTCTTCCTCCTCATGCTGCTCCTGCTGCTGCTCCTGCTGCTGCAGCTTCAGTGCTGCCTCTTTCTCCCCCGCATAATTCCCCCCCTGCCGTACCTCGTCCTCCTCCCTCTGGTTCCCCTCCCAAGCCCTCTGTTCATCCTCAAAGTGAGAATGGTCCCCTTGCTGCTGAGGCTCTCAATGCAATAACAACAGCAACAGGCTGGGCCAGTTTGCAGCAGCAGCTGCAGGAGGCGCAGGAGGAGGAGGAGGAGAAGCAGCAACGGCAGCAGGAGCAGCAGCAGCAGCAGCAGCAGGAGCAGCAGCAGCAGGAGCAGCAGCAGCAGGAGCAGCAGCAGCCGGAGCAGCAGCAGCAGGAGCAGCAGCAAGTCCAGCTTGCACAAGAGCATGAGGCCAATCACCAACATGAGCAGCACACATCACACCATCCCCAGCAGCACCCATCCCACCATCCCCAGAGGCCGCATCATCATCATCATCATCACAAGGCGCTGAGTCTTGACAGCAGGATGTTGAGTGTGGCTGGGTGGATGGGCAAGGGTATGGGTAGTAAAGGCAGGAGTGGGTTTCTTGCTACTGACGAAGGGACTGGGGCTGATGCGGAGTCAGGCTGTGGAGATGGTGCTGCTGCTGGGGGAATAGGGGTAGGGAGGGGAGAAGGAGAATTGGGAGGAGATGTGGCGGCAGGAGCAGAAGCAGAGGCAGCAGCAGCAGCAGCCGCAGCTGCAACAGGAGGAACACGAGGAGGGGTAGGAGGAGGAGGAATAGAAACAGGAGGTTTCGGAGTGACTGCAGCAGGGGAAGAAGCAAGAGGAGAGGCAGGGAAGGGAGTGGAGGAGGAGGAGGAGGAGGGAGAGGATTCGCTTCCTTCCCTGTGGTCAGCACCCGCACAGGGATGGGGAGGGGGTATTGGGGGACAGGGGGGGCAGGGGGTGCAGGGGCAACAGGAGGAACAAGGGGGGCAAAGGGGACAGGAGGCGCAAGGGGTGCTGGGGGGGCAAGGGGGGCTTGGGGGACAAGGGGGACAAGGGGGACAAGGGGTGCAGGGGGGGCGGAGACACAAGGCATCAGTTATAAGCCTGAGTATAGCGGCAGGCCTGCATGCTCTGGTGAGTCCCCGGGACTCTAACCGACAATCATCAGGTGCTATGATGTGGAAAACAAGACCGGGGAAACGAGCAGGGTATGGTGAGGAGAGGAGGGGATGGGGAGGTGGGGGTGGAAGAGAAAGAGGAGGAGGAGGAGGAGGAGGAGGAGGAGGAGGAGGAGGAGGAGGAGGAGGAGGAGGGGACGGGGGCGGGGGAGGGATGGGAGGTGGAGGGGGAGTGAGGGGAGGGTATGGGACGTGGGGAAAAGGGGGTGCGGAGAAGAGGAGTAAGTTATTGCATCGGTCGAGGTCCCTGACTACTGAAGGGTTTAGAGGGCTGGATGAGGAGGGAGAGGGAGTGGAAGAGGAGGGTGGGGAGAGTGGAGTAGAGGAGATGCAGGAGAGGGGTGGGGTGAGGAGAGGCAAGGAGCAAGGGGGGTCTAGCTGGAGAAAACTGGTGCCTGGTGCTGCTGCTGCTGCCGCCGCCGCCGCTGCTGCCGCTGCTGCTGCTGGTGCTGCTGCTGCGGCCGCCGCTGCTGGTGGGAAGGGTGGTGTAAGTGCGTCCTCAAGTGATGTAGACAAAGAGAGCGCTTCTAAAAGCACCTTCCGTGGCAGAATGGGAGCTAGTACTAGCGCGAGCAGCAGCAGCAGCACCACTGCTGCCAGTATCAGCACCAATGCTAGTGCCAGAAGTGGTGGCGGCGGCGGCAGCAGCAGCAGCAGCTTTGGCGGGAGCGGCAGCGGCAGTGGGCGGTTAGAGGTGCGAGTTAAGTCAGTTTTGGCACGGTATTTCAGCAGAGGTTCAGGAGCAGGGTCTGGGAATGGGAGTAGAAGCATCGGCATGACTCGCACCTCCACTGGCAGCAGGCTGTCTCGTTTCGTCACTGCTTCGGGGGATCGCGATGGCCGAAAAGGGGGCTATTCTGCTGCAACAGCCGCAGGAGCATCGGGTGAAGCAGGGATGGGAGGAGGCGGAGGAGGAGGGGCAGCGGGAGGAGGAGGAGGAGGGGGGGAGGAAGAGTGGAGGTTTGGAAACGAGGGGGAGGAGCCAGTGGGGGATTTACCATGGGTGGGATCTAACTTAGATGGCCCTTTGCTGCCGTCTGCTGCTATTTATGAGGCGTTGATGCTCTCTCCTCGGTACGATGCGGTGGGGCAGTTGGGGCAGTCAGATGCAGATGGATCTGGTGGGACAGTTGGGACAGTTGAGGCACGAGATCTGCTGATGGCAATGGTGAGGGAGAAACGAATCACTTCGGCTGCTGTTGCAGCAGCTATGGCCGCAGTTGCTTCCTCAGGCGTTGGTGATGGTGCTGTTGGTGCTGCTGGTGTTGCTGGTGCTGCTGCTTCCGCCGCCGCTGCTGGTGGTGCCGGTAGTGGTGCTGGTGCCTCGGGTATGAACTATAAAGGAGGAGCGGAAGAAGGAGAGGAGGAGGACGACGACGATAGTGTGCCCCTCTGTTACTCCTCTCCTCTTCCCTTTGCCCCGGGCAACCACTGGGCTCTACTCATGCGCCAAAGCCTGGAGTGCGACGAAACCAGCAGCGGAAACTTCGAGCTGCACCGGTCGAAAGCGGTGGAGGACGGTGCGGAGCCGTGGGGGGGTGGTGGAGACGGAGAGGGGGAGGGAGTGGGGGAGGAGGGTGGTGCTGGGGTGGGGAACGGGGGACAAGCGCCGGGGTTTCAGGATATGTTGGTATTGAATGATGTGGGTAGGAGTAGTGATGGGACTCCTGTCATGTCCACCTCATCCTCGCTGGTTATAGGGGTTGTGGAGGGGGGGGAGAGGGGGGTGGAGGGTGCGGAGAGAGGAGGGGGGGAGGGTCGGGGGTCTGTGGGGGGGAGTGTGGAGGGGGCTTCATGGCATGGGATGGTTTTTGAGGAAGGTTTTCAAAAATCGCCTGTGGGAACAAGGATGGGCGGGGAAGAAGAGGATGGGGGAGTGTTGGTGGAGGAGCGAGGGGAGGGAGGAGAGGAGGTGGTTTTCGAGAGAGGGGGTCTCACATCAGGGTGTGTGATAGGGGTAGAGGATGATGGGGTGAATATGGTGGCATTGGAACATTCAGCAGGCTCTGGTTCTGCTGTGGGTGTGGTGACTGGGGTGGTAGGTGCAGGGGCAGGGGGAATAGGACTAGGTCTCTTTGTAGTTGTGGATGAGGAGGGAGAAGAGGGGGAGTTGGAAGGGGTTGGGAGCGGTGGAGAGGGTTTGGAGTGGAATTGTGGGGCGTCTAGTGTGATGTGTGCCATGGGAAGCATGTCTGAGCCTGATGCTGCTCTGCATGAATTCGGGCTCATGCAGGAGATGGGGCAGGACATGGGGCATGACATGGGGCAAGACATGGGGCAAGATGTGGCATCTGATGTGGTGAATGGCATGGCACATGATATGTCGAATGGCATGGCACATGATATGTCGAATGGCATGGCATATGATGCAGTAGGTGGCATGGCACATGATGGGACAGAAAGCATGGCGCACCCCTTGCGCGATGCTGCAACAAGCGACCGTACATCCTCCTCCTCACATAGTGGCACGCTTGTTGAGAGCCATGGGCTTATTGATAACCGAGGTCATGCCCATGCCCTCAGTCCAGCCCACACTAGTACTGCACTGTGTCATGTAGAGGACAGATGACACGATGTGATGTGATGGTTGACGGCCTTGTTTTCACTGCCAGAAGGTTAAGAGCTGGTAATCTCTAGGCTGCTGCTTGCTAATATTTATAAGAATGTATATGAGTTTGTGTTGTGTTGTGTCAACAGGACCCAGAAGTGTATGGGTTGATCCATAGCGACTCTGGAAATCCCTGTTGCAGTGCCTACTTCCCGTGAACAAGCCGAAAAGCTTGATGTCCAGTTCGGTACTTCGGGACTCATTTTAGCCCAACGATCTGTGGCTAAAAAAACTGTAGCGGTTGGCTAAACATGGGGAAATCAAGTTTGGAAGTTCCTAATGAAACACAATTCCCTTCCCTCAAATCCATCTCTCACACTCTCGCTCTCACCCTATTTTCTGTCACCAATCTAAAGCACTCTGGAGAGAGTACGGTGCTCCAACAGCCGTTACAGTAGCGGGACTTGTCAGTAGCAGACAGGTGGGCTGAGGAGCGGAGGGCCGGAGGCCTTACCGTACTTGCATCAGCTCGAATGTTTCAGCACTCTGGAGAAAACACGGTGCTCCAGCTGCCGTTACACAGTAGCAGAGCTTGTCAGTAGCCGACAGGTGGGCAGCGGAGCGCAGACTCTCGAGAGAATTGGTTGCTCTAACTACCGTACTGACACTGTAGCAGAGCAGATGTGGTCAAACGCTAGTTCAATACGGTAACGGCCACGTGACTGAAGGAGCAGGCTGGTCATAGAATCCTAGAGCACACTTGTGATCTGAGCAGGCTACTGTTATTGCTGTCTCAAAAGCCAAGGGTTAGCTCAGTCGCGGCCACGTGACCGGAGGAGCAGGCTGATAATAGAATCCTAGAGCACACTTCTGATCTGATCTCAGCAGGCTACTGTAATTGTTTTCTCAAAAGCCAAGCGGTGCTAGTTCAATAGCGGCCACGTGACCGGAGGGGCAGGGTGGTCGTAGAAAATCAGAGGACTTCTCTGAGGCATCTCAATGGGTCAAACGCTAGTTCAGTCGTGGCCACGTGACCGGGGGAGCAGGCTGGTCGTAGAAGCTGAGAGCGTTGAGGATGTCTAGAAGCGATGAGAGGGACTCGGTGACAGGGGCGGAGGGGAGGTTGTGGAGTGCAGAGCAGTTGTGGTCGATGGATGGGACGAGCCAGGGGGAGAGAGCCCCAATGAAGGAGTCCAGGCGTGGCGATAGGATGCCCTCCCAATCCGCCTGGCGGGGAGAGAGTGGAAGAGGGGGGTGGGGGGGGGCGGGTAGAGGGGAGATGGGGGGAGAGGAAGGAGAATCCGGATAAGAAAACGGGAGGGCGATGCAGGAAAGGGAGGAGGTGTGAGGTGATTGGTATATGGATGAGAGGGACTCGGTGATGGGGACGGAGGGGAGGTTGTGGAGCGCAGAGCAGTTGGGTCGATGGACGGGAGCAGCCAGGGGTGGAGAGCCCCAATGAAGGAGTCCAGGCGTGGCGATAGGATGCCCTCCCAATCCGCCTGGCGGGTAGATAACGAGGGCGGGAGGGGGTGGATGGTGGGGGAGGAAGAGGGGAGGGCGGGAGCAGGGGAAGGGGGAGGGGTGGGGAAGGAGGTGCAGGGGGGATAAGACGGGAGGGAGAAGGGGAGGGGGTATGAGGTGATTGGAATGGGGATGAAAGAGACTCGGTGACGGGGACGGAGGGGAGGTTGTGGAGAGCAGAGCAGTTGTGGTCGATGGAAGGGACGAGCCACGGGGAGAGAGCCGCTATGAAGGAGTCCAGGCGTGGCGATAGGATGCCCTCCCAATCCGCCTGTATGAGAGATAGTGGAGAGCGGGGGATACAGCGGGAGAAGGAGGGGAATTTGAAGGTGCCTCAAAAGTAGCCAGGGGGAGAGGGCCCCAATGAAAGAGTCGAGCCGTGGCGAGAGAATGCCCTCCCAATCCGCCTGGATGGGAGATAGTGGAGAGCAGAGGATCCGGGGGGGGGGAGAGTGGGGAAGGAGGCGCTGGGGGGAGAAGAGAGGGAAGGGTGATGAAGGAAGGGGAGGGGGTACGAGGTACTGGTATGGGTGTGGAGTGAGGTGAAACACAAGAGGGGAAGGCTAGGGCGAGAGGTGATAGTTGGGCTAGGCCCCGCAAGAGATAAAGACAAAGGGGACAGCTTTTGGAGAGAGACAAGGGATTGAGAGAGAGCAGAATATGGAGAGAGATGAGAGAAAGACAGAGAGAGAAATGGAGAGTGGTGCCTGGAGTCCTCGGGGCACGTGTGCTGCTAGACAGCGGTACGTGCATGTCAGCTGCTAGAAAAAGAGAGAAGAGTATCTGACAAGAGAGAGGAGAGAGAAAGACATTGAGAGGTATATGGAGAGAGCGGGTACCTGGAGTCCTCTGGGCACGTGTGCTGTGATCTGCATGTCCGCTGCAAGGAATAGCCCCAGCATGGTCACATAGCCCACCATGGCCGTGCCGCGTGCAAGAGGCATGAAGTTGTACCTGCACGCGTGGATGGGCGGGTGGGATGGGATGAGGAGGAGATGGGGAATGCGGGATGCAAGGGATGGGAGGGATGTGGGAGGGATGTGGGAGGGATGGGCGGCATGGTGACATAGCCCACCACGGCCGCGCCCGAGTGAGAGGCATGAAGTTGTACCTGGCATGTGGATGGGCGGGTGGGATGGGATGAGGAGGAGATGGGGGATGGGAGGGGGCTTTTGAGTCGACTGAATAGCCCCAGCATGGTGACAAAGCCCACATGGCCGTGCCGCGTGCCGCGTGCGAGAGGCGTGAAGTTGTACCTGCACGTGTGGATGGACGAGAGAGAGGGGATGAGGAATGGGGGGAATGGGAGAGACGCGAGGAACGGGAGGGATGGGAGGGTTGTAGCTTCGGTCACGCTTCCCCTCTCTCCATCCATACCCACCATATCGTCCTCCCGTCCCCCCCACCTCCCCTTCCCCATGCCCCGCCCCCCCCCCCCCCTTTCCCCTGCCCGTCCGTCCCCTTTCTATGTGCCCTTTCCCGCGCGCACCAGTAGAAGGCGAGAGAGAGGATGGCGCGCTGAATGCGCTGGCGATACTCCGTGATGTTGCTTTCCTTCAGCGCTGTGTCCAGGTAGGCTGCACACAGCGCCTGGTGGGGTGGGGGGAGGGGGGGGAGGATGGGGAGGATGGAAGCAGAAGGAAGTGAAGGGAGGAGGGAGGGTGATGTTGCTTTCCTTCAGCCCTGTGCCCAGGTATGCTGCACACAGCGCCCGGTGCGCAAAAGGAAGGAAGTGAAGGGAGGAGGGAGAGTGATGTTGCTTTCCTTCAGATTTGCGTCCAGATATGCTGCACACGGGGCCTGGTGTGGGGGAGGAGGACGGCGTTAACACAGTGAAGGAAGGTGAAGGGAGGATGGGGGGGTGTGATGTTGCTTTCCTTCAGCCCTGTGCCCAGGTATGCTGCACACAGCGCCTGGTGGGGTGAAGGGGGAAAGGGGGGAGGATGATGGGAAGATGTGGGGAGGATGTGGGGAGGATGGAGGGAGGGGGAAAGCGGGGAGTCAATGAGGTGAGGGGTAGAAAGGGAGATTGATGTGGTGCGCACGAGAGAGAGCGAAGGAAGAGAGGAAAACGAGGGGAGGAAGACGGGGAGAAAGAGGGGGAGAAAAAGGGGGAGAAACAACAGAAACAGCACCCACCTTCCAAGCAGCTTCCATCTCATGGTCGTACTCCTTCCAACGGGGAGGCGTGCCGGGTGTCTTGATGGCAAAGTCGTAATATGTAGGGCTGAAATGGAACGGGGCGAGGTGAGGGTGGGTGTGGTGCGGTGTCGGGCGATGGAGGAGGGAGGGGGAGGAGGGGGGGGGGGGGGTGGATTTTGCATGAATGCAAAGCTCCTAACATTCTGAGCTATAAAATAAACACACGGGGCTGCATGAAAGAAAATAGATAGAATGACTCTTCTAAAGCCGACCCAAAGTCCCTGCTGATGGTGAAGTCAGAAAACAATCGCTTGGTGTGGGGCATAAAATGAGATGGTGAAGTGAGTGACCTTGGAACTTATTTATTAGGCTCATCTGATGGTGAAAGCAGAAGAACGAGAATGGGTGCTAGAGGGAATATGGTGACGTGAGGGGGAGACGACGAAGGGGGGGGACCAGTGAGGTGGAGCAGAGGAGGGCAGAGCAGAGCATCTAAGTGGATACAGGCGGAGGGGCGAGAGAGAAGAGAAGACAAGTGCACTCACGTGCGAACCATGGTGAGGCGAGTGCCGTTCATCACATAACTGAAGGGAGAGGAGAGGAGGGGGAGGGGGAGGAAGGGAAGGGAGGGGAAGGGAGGGGGAGAGGGCAGTGCAGTGCAGTGCAGAGGCATGCGGGGTTAAATTCTGCCCTGAATCTGAGTGTAACCATTTACATTAAGATGAGAGTATGTGCTGTTTAAGATGTAGCTCTGAAGGCGTCACATGGAACGGAAGGGGGGAGTGGTGGGGTGGGGTTGAAGATGGAGAGAAGATGAGGGACGGATAGATCACACGAGAGGAACGTTGAAAGCGGGAGAGAAGATGATGCACGTAACTGCGGCGAGGCAGCAAGGCAGCACAGCAGCAAGGCAGCAAGGCAGCACAGCAGCAAGGCAGCGAGGCTGCAAGGTGATACGTATTCATGAATGGACAAAGGCAACGAGGATAGAGCGTAAAGGGGCGAGCACAGGAGGGGAGAAGCACAGGAGGGGAGGAACAGAGGAGGGAACGAGCACAGGAGGGGAGGAGAACAGGAGGGGAGGAGAACAGGAGGGGAGGAGCACAGGAGGGGAGGAGCACAGGAGGGGAGAGGCACAGGAGGGGGGGTGCACCCGCAGCATGCAGCTCGCAGCGTGCATTATCCGGGAGCGGCGGTGCTGTAGCACGGCATGACCACCCAGTAATTCTTCCGAATGAAGAGGCGCCTCTAAACTATGACCGCATTGCATTGTATCATCACCCACCCAGGAGTGGCGGTGCTGTAGCAGGGCGTGACCACCCAGTAGTCCTCCCCAATCACTTTCCACAGCTCCTCCGCGTCTTTTGCCGCCTTGATCTACACAAGGGGACAGACGATCAAATTTCACTGAGACCGAAAATGAAGATGAAGAATAATAATAAAAAAAAAACCGAAAATGTAAACTACTTGCCTCATTGCTCTCATGTGACACGTCTAGACAGAGAAGAATTTTGAGAGCTTTGACTCGAGAGTGCCTCAAAAGCATCAGAACTCTGTACTGAGGAAACCCACCTGTGCTTTCATCTCTGGTGTGATTTCGACGGGGTTGTTGTGCCCGTTCCACACGCCATCATCCAGCATTCGCCCCTTCATGATGTCCAGCGCTCTGATAAACATGACACACACAGACATGGGCGCACACACACACACCGGACGCACGCATGCTCGCACACACGCACGCACACACTCCCCCTCCCCCCCCTCTCCGCCCCCCCTCCCACACACACGCACACAAGACAAAAGCACAACAGACAGAAACACACTTACTCAGCAGGAAGACACGTAGCACAGAGAGACCAGCAGACAGCACTAAAGGCAAAACAGTAAAGCACGGATGGAGAGGAGAGTAGCGGCAGGCAGGGAAGGGCATGCACATGCACTGGTGAAAGATAAAAGCACTTGGCTTTAGTGATTGTTTGTTCGTCTTTTACCGATGTATGCCCGCATTGTTGTTCATTTGTTTTGATGCACCTGGAAGCCTGGTTTGAGGCACTGGTGCTGTTTGGAGGCACCTCAAAAACACCGACCCGAGTCAGGGGCCCTCAAACCCATGGCACGGCACAGCACGGCACAGCACGGTACAGCACGGCACAGCACGGTACAGCACGGCACAGCACGGTACAGCACGGTTCAGCACGGCACAGCACGGCACGGCATGGCACGCACCGGTCAAAGATGAAGTAGTAGCGGCTGTTCTTCATCTGCCCCACCAGCATGGTTGTCACGGACCCAAAGCCCTCCTCAAACTCCTTGGCCCTGAGGGACGGGAGAGCGGAGGACGACAGGCAGGAGGGGAGAGACAGGGTGGGTTTGTGAGAGAAGGCAGGAATGAGAAGATATATGGGGTGCCTCGGAAACTACCAGCTTTGCTGTCATCAACCCAAAGCCCTCCTCGAACTCCTTGGCTCTCTGGGGGACAAGAGAGACGAAGAAGGCGGGCAGCTGGACGACAGAAGGGGCTGCGAGGACGACAGGGGGAGTTGCAAAGCAATGACTCCGGCCCCCACTCTTCACGGGACCACTCCCCACCCTCTGCAATGCCCTCCCCCCTTCTTCCCTTCATTTCCCCCTTGCAATGCACGCACGCAAGTTAGTCAGGGTTGATGGGCTCAGCCAGCTGGCGCCACTCTTGCGACACCTCAACTCCCCCCCCTTCCCCTCAACCCTCTCTCCCCCCTATTCCCTCCCCTCCCCCACTCCCCCAACCCCAATGCACGCACGTGAGTTTGTCGATCCACACAACAGGGTCGACGGGCTCAGCCAGCTGACGCCACTTCACCACACGGTCATAGATCTCCCTCCACCCGCCGATCGTCTCCCCCACCTTCCCTTGCGCCTGTCCTTTCTCCGCCTCACCCCCCCCACCCCTCCTCTCGCGCCCCCGCGACCGCCGCCCCTGCTGCTCCTCCTCCTCCTGTTCCTCCTCTTCCTCCTCCTTCTCCTGCTGGTTTTTGTTTCGTCGCCTGCGATCCTGTGTCTTGCTGCGCTGCCTCTGCTCCTGCCTGTCCTCCTGCTCTGCTCCCTCCGACTCTCCCTGCTGCTCCTCCTGCTCCTGCTGCTGCTGCAGCTGCTGCAGCCGCTGCTGCCTCCTCCGCCCCCTCCTGCTCCCACTACCACCAGCAGCAGCACCAGCAGCAGCACCACCCCCACCACCACCGCCCCCACCACCAGCAGCACCAGCGGCCTGTCTGTCTCTCTCCTCCGCCATGACTGCCCATGTGCGCCGCACCAGGTCTCGAAGGTCCATCATTGCCAGCCCTGCCATGCGGTACTGGTGGTGGTGGGAGGGGGAGGGGAGGGAACGAGAAGGAGGGGAGAGGGAGGATCGGGGGATAGACTTGTTAAGGCGCCTAAAGGAAGGTCCATCATTGCCAGCCCTGCCATGCGATACTGGTGGGGGTGGGTGTGGGGGGGGGGAGGAAGGGAAGAAGGGCGGGGAGAGGAGCGAGGAGCGAAGGTCCATCATTGCCAACCCTGCCATGCGGTACTGGTGGTGGTGACCGTGCACCCAGGGGGGAGGACGGGAAAGAAGAGATGCGGGGGATTGAGGCGGGGGAGGGGGGGGGGGGGGATAGGCGCTTGTTGGGAAGACACCCCTGCCAGTCGTATTTCACCAGGGACCCTAGCTTCTCCGCTGCTTGCAGCAACGCACACACCTGCCTTGAGGTACCACAAGCAAAACCTTGGGGGTTCTCACTCTTACTCACCTGCCAGCACCCTCATTCTCTCTCTCACCTGCCGCTTGTTGGGCAGGAACCCCTGCCAGTCGTATTTCACCAAGGACCCCAGCTTCTCCGCTGCTTGCAGCAACGCGCGCATCTGCTTCGAGAAGGTTACGCGGTAACCGGCGTTCTCGGAGGGCGGGAGGCGGGCCACCTGCAGCACCGGCTGCATCTCGTATCCGGGGAAGAGGACCATTGGAGGCATGCGCTTGCTCCACCCTTCCTGTTGCCGGGAGGGTTGTGAAAGGGAGGGAACGTGAAAGGAAGTTTGAGAAGGTAACTTAGAAGCTGGCTGCATTTCATAACCGGAAGAGTGGACCATTAGGGGCACGCCCTGGCTGTTGCAGCAGGGAGTGTGAAGGCGAGGGTGAGGCGTGCTGGGTAGAAGAGGCGTGAGGGTAGGGGAAGAGAGGGAGTGGCATCCGTAGTATGGCATGGCATGGCATGGCATGGCATGGCATGGTATGGCATTGTATGGCATCATGGCATGGTATGACATTGTATGGCATGAGAGGCGGACCTTGAAGGTGGGGTTGAGATCATCGTCTATCTTGAGTGCTGGCAGCGGCTTGTGCCTCCTCATGGCCAGGTAGCATGTCAGCTCCCTCTGTCTCACACGAACGGTGCGAGGGGCGGTGGGGAAGAGCGGGGGAGGGGGAGGTGGGAGGGGAGAGGGGAGGAGGGAAGGGTGGAAGGGAGGGGTGGAAACGATGTGGTATGTGGTATCTCGTGTGTATGCCGTGTGCACTTATGCCGTAGGTCATATGCATGCAAGCACTACATAGTACGTAGGGGATGTGATACAATAGGTATCCACGTAAGTGCACTTTCGAGGCGCGTCGACGAAACTATGTATGCAGGTAGTAAATTAGTAACATAGCATAGGCGTACGCCGCGTACGCACCTGGTAGAAGGCCTGGAATTGCTTGGTCCTCTCCTCGTCTGGTGGGAAATCTTTTGAGGCGCCTCAAAAGTCGCCTCAAAAGGCGCCTCGAAGGTCGTATGCAGGTAGTAAATTAGTAACATAGCATAGGCGTACGCCGCGTACGTACCTGGTAGAAGGCCTGGAATTGCTTGATCCTCTCCTCGTCTGGTGGGAAATTGATACCAAGAAAGCTGTCATACAATTGCACCTGGGAGGGAGGCGGGAGAGATTCAAAGTGAAGTGGGGCAATTCACTAGGGATGATGGGGGATGATGGTGGATGATGGGGGATGATGGGGGATGATGGGGGATGATGGGGGATGATGGGGGATGATGGGGGATGATGGGGGATGATGGGGGATGATGGGGGATGATGGGGGATGATGGGGGATGATGGGGGATGATGGGGGATGATGGGGGATGATGGGGGATGATGGGGGATGATGGGGGAGGATGGGGGAGGATGGGGGAGGATGGGGGAGGATGGGGGAGGATGGGGGATGATGGGGGATGATGGGGGATGATGGGGGATGATGGGGGATGATGGGGGATGATGGGGGATGATGGGGATGATGGGGGATGATGGGGGATGATGGGGGATGATGGGGGATGATGGGGGATGATGGGGGATGATGGGGGATGATGGGGGATGATGGGGGATGATGGGGGATGATGGGGGATGATGGGGGATGATGGGGGATGATGGGGGATGATGGGGGATGATGGGGGATGATGGGGGATGATGGTGGATGATGGGGGATGATGGGGGATGATGGGGGATGATGGGGATGATGGGGGATGATGGGGGATGATGGGGGATGATGGGGGATGATGGGGGATGATGGGGGATGATGGGGGATGATGGGGGATGATGGGGGATGATGGGGGATGATGGGGGATGATGGGGGATGATGGGGGATGATGGGGGATGATGGGGGATGATGGGGGATGATGGGGGATGATGGGGGATGATGGGGGATGATGGGGGATGATGGGGGATGATGGGGGATGATGGGGGATGATGGGGGATGATGGGGGATGATGGGGGATGATGGGGGATGATGGGGGGTGATGGGGGGTGATGGGGGGTGATGGGGGTGATGGGGGGTGATGGTGGCTGATGGGCGATGATGGGCGATGATGGGCGATGATGGGCGATGATGGGCGATGATGGGCGATGATGGGCGATGATGGGCGATGATGGGGGATGATGGGGGATGATGGGGGATGATGGGGGATGATGGGGGATGATGGGGGATGATGGGGGATGATGGGGGATGATGGGGGATGATGGGGGATGATGGGGGATGATGGGGGATGATGGGGGATGATGGGGGATGATGGGGGACGATGGTGGAGGATGGGGGACGATGGGGGACGATGGGGGACGATGGGGGACGATGGGGGACGATGGGGGACGATGGGGGACGATGGGGGACGATGGGGGACGATGGGGGACGATGGGGGACGATGGGGGACGATGGGGGACGATGGGGGACGATGGGGGACGATGGGGGACGATGGGGGACGATGGGGGACGATGGGGGACGATGGGGGATGATGGGGGATGATGGGGGATGATGGTGGATGATGGTGGATGATGGTGGATGATGGGGGATGATGGGGGAGACGATGGGGGAGACGATGGGGGAGACGATGGGGGATGATGGTGGATGATGGGGGATGATGGGGGATGATGGGGGATGATGGGGGATGATGGGGGATGATGGGGGATGATGGGGGATGATGGGGGATGATGGGGGATGATGGGGGATGATGCGGGATGATGGGGGATGATGGGGGATGATGGGGGATGATGGGGGATGATGGGGGATGATGGGGGATGATGGGGGATGATGGGGGATGATGGGGGATGATGGTGGATGATGGGGGATGATGGTGGATGATGGGGGATGATGGGGGATGATGGGGGATGATGGGGGATGATGGGGGATGATGGGGGATGATGGGGGATGATGGTGGATGATGGGGGATGATGGGGGATGATGGGGGATGATGGGGGATGATGGTGGATGATGGGGGATGATGGTGGATGATGGGGGATGATGGGGATGATGGGGATGATGGGGGATGATGGGGGATGATGGTGGATGATGGTGGATGATGGGGGATGATGGGGGATGATGGTGGATGATAGTGGATGATGGGGGATGATGGGGGATGATGGGGGATGATGGGGGATGATGGGGGATGATGGTGGATGATGGGGGATGATGGGGAATGATGGGGGATGATGGGGGATGATGGTGGATGATGGGGGATGATAGTGGATGATGGGGGATGATGGGGGATGATGGGGGATGATGGGGGATGATGGGGGATGATGGGGGATGATGGTGGATGATGGGGGATGATGGTGGATGATGGGGGATGATGGGGGATGATGGGGGATGATGGGGGATGATGGGGGATGATGGGGGATGATGGGGGATGATGGTGGATGATGGGGATGATGGGGATGATGGGGGATGATGGGGGATGATGGGGGATGATGGGGGATGATGGGGGATGATGGGGGATGATGGGGGATGATGGGGGATGATGGTGGATGATGGTGGATGATGGTGGGGGGCGAGCCACGGGTGTAGAGATCGCACACAGGATGGGAATGTGAGCAATCCGTTATCCAGGTGCTCAAAAAGAAGAAGAGGTGGATGATGGTGGGGTGGGGTGCAAAACTCGTTCGTGGGCCCGGGCGGGCAGCACAGGGCGTGAAGCAGGGCGGTGTAGCACGGTGCAGCGCGGTGAGCAGTCTCAAAACGGGAGGGAGGGTGGGGACACACCGCTCCGGAGACGAGTCCAAGTGCATGCACGGAGGAGGAGGGAAGGAGGAGGCTTCAGTGTAATGTAACCCTCTGAGCTGGGAAGCCTAAGGAAGCAAGAAGGGAGAGAAAAGGAGAGAACACACACCGCTTCGGAGAAGAGTCCGAGTGCGTGCACGGAGGAGGCTTCAGTGTAGCGCAGATCCATGTCGTTTGGCAGCAGCTTTAGCCCCTGCCTTGCCACTAACAGCGCGGTCCTGATGGGATGTGATGTGAAGGTAGAGAGAGAGAGCAGAGCAGGTTTGAGGTGCCTCAACGGTCGTTTGGCAGAAGCTGCAGCTCCTGCCTCGCCACTGCTTGCCGAGGTGCGCAGGACAAGAGCTAGTCGGGTCCGGGTTGAGAAAGTGGATGATGGGCGTTAGACATGAGCAAGTTAGTGAACCACTGGATGGACACCCACAGCCGCAAGCACAGCCGCAAGCACAGCCGCAAGCACAGCCGCAGGCAGAGGTAGAGGCAGAGGCACACAGGCATACCTCAACACACACACTCATCCATCCACCCACACCACACCCACCTGTGGTCCCCCATGGCCTGCTTGAACTGGCTGTACCACGGTACGCCTGCGGGCGGTGCGCTGGTCGACCCACATTGCACAGGCACGCACACCCACATGCAGACACACTAGCACACACACAAACCCACCCACCCACACTGCACCACTCCCACCTGTGGTCCCCCATGGCCTGCTTGAACTGGCTGTACACGCGGTACGCCTGCGGGTGCCGCGGGTCGATGCTAGTCGCCCTAAGATAGCTGCTCCGTCCCACATTGCATACGCACGCACATACATTCACCCACTCATACCCACCTGTGGTCCCCCATGGCCTGCTTGAACTGGCTGTACACGCGGTACGCCTGTGGGTGGCGCGGGTCGAGCCTCAGCGCCTTGAGGTAGCTCTTCTCCGCGTCCTCCACGCGCCCCAGCTCCCGCTGAGACTGCGCCAGCTGCAGCAGCACGTCCCTGTTGTTGCCGTCGCGCTTCAAAGCTTTCTGAAATGCTTCAACTGCCATGTCGCAGTCGCCACCTGATAGATACGCCTGGCCCTGGTGGGGGGGAGAAGAGGAGGTGGGGCGGGTGGGGTGGAGTGCATGCGGTGGGGAGTGGTGGATTTAGAGTTGACTCTAGTGAGGGTTCTCGCAGTCGCCGCCTGATAGATATGCCTGGTCGGTCCTGCTGCAGAAGAAGGGACGGGTGGGGTGGGGTGGGATGAGGTGCAGCACAATAAAGTTGATTTTCAGTCGGCTCTAAAGAGACTTGTTGCAGCCCAGTCGCTTGATAGATATGCTCAAAGCAAGTTGAGAGGGGGTGAGGTGGGGTGGAATGTTTTCTAGTGCGTGAAGCGAGGGTTTGGTGATTGGTGAGTGGAGGTGGTGTGAGTGGTGAGTGGAGGTGGTGTGAGTGGTGAGTGGCAGTGGTGTGAGTGGTGAGTGGCAGTGGTGTGAGTGGTGAGTGGCAGTGGTGTGAGTGGTGAGTGGCAGTGGTGTGAGTGGTGAGTGGCAGTGGTGTGAGTGGTGAGTGGAGGTGGTGTGAGTGGTGAGTGGCAGTGGTGTGAGTGGTGAGTGGAGGTGGTGTGAGTGGTGAGTGGCAGTGGTGTGAGTGGTGAGTGGCAGTGGTGTGAGTGGTGAGTGGCAGTGGTGTGAGTGGTGAGTGGAGGTGGTGTGAGTGGTGAGTGGCAGTGGTGTGAGTGGTGAGTGGCAGTGGTGTGAGTGGTGAGTGGCAGTGGTGTGAGTGGTGAGTGGCAGTGGTGTGAGTGGTGAGTGGAGGTGGTGTGAGTGGTGAGTGGCAGTGGTGTGAGTGGTGAGTGGCAGTGGTGTGAGTGGTGAGTGGAGGTGGTGTGAGTGGTGAGTGGCAGTGGTGTGAGTGGTGAGTGGCAGTGGTGTGAGTGGTGAGTGGCAGTGGTGTGAGTGGTGAGTGGCAGTGGTGTGAGTGGTGAGTGGCAGTGGTGTGAGTGGTGAGTGGCAGTGGTGTGAGTGGTGAGTGGAGGTGGTGTGAGTGGTGAGTGGCAGTGGTGTGAGTGGTGAGTGGCAGTGGTGTGAGTGGTGAGTGGCAGTGGTGTGAGTGGTGAGTGGCAGTGGTGTGAGTGGTGAGTGGAGGTGGTGTGAGTGGTGAGTGGCAGTGGTGTGAGTGGTGAGTGGAGGTGGTGTGAGTGGTGAGTGGCAGTGGTGTGAGTGGTGAGTGGCAGTGGTGTGAGTGGTGAGTGGCAGTGGTGTGAGTGGTGAGTGGAGGTGGTGTGAGTGGTGAGTGGCAGTGGTGTGAGTGGTGAGTGGCAGTGGTGTGAGTGGTGAGTGGCAGTGGTGTGAGTGGTGAGTGGAGGTGGTGTGAGTGGTGAGTGGCAGTGGTGTGAGTGGTGAGTGGCAGTGGTGTGAGTGGTGAGTGGCAGTGGTGTGAGTGGTGAGTGGCAGTGGTGTGAGTGGTGAGTGGAGGTGGTGTGAGTGGTGAGTGGCAGTGGTGTGAGTGGTGAGTGGCAGTGGTGTGAGTGGTGAGTGGCAGTGGTGTGAGTGGTGAGTGGCAGTGGTGTGAGTGGTGAGTGGCAGTGGTGTGAGTGGTGAGTGGCAGTGGTGTGAGTGGTGAGTGGAGGTGGTGTGAGTGGTGAGTGGCAGTGGTGTGAGTGGTGAGTGGCAGTGGTGTGAGTGGTGAGTGGCAGTGGTGTGAGTGGTGAGTGGCAGTGGTGTGAGTGGTGAGTGGCAGTGGTGTGAGTGGTGAGTGGAGGTGGTGTGAGTGGTGAGCGGCAGTGGTGTGAGTGGTGAGTGGCAGTGGTGTGAGTGGTGAGTGGCAGTGGTGTGAGTGGTGAGTGGAGGTGGTGTGAGTGGTGAGTGGCAGTGGTGTGAGTGGTGAGTGGCAGTGGTGTGAGTGGTGAGTGGCAGTGGTGTGAGTGGTGAGTGGCAGTGGTGTGAGTGGTGAGTGGCAGTGGTGTGAGTGGTGAGTGGAGGTGGTGTGAGTGGTGAGTGGCAGTGGTGTGAGTGGTGAGTGGCAGTGGTGTGAGTGGTGAGTGGCAGTGGTGTGAGTGGTGAGTGGCAGTGGTGTGAGTGGTGAGTGGCAGTGGTGTGAGTGGTGAGTGGAGGTGGTGTGAGTGGTGAGTGGCAGTGGTGTGAGTGGTGAGTGGCAGTGGTGTGAGTGGTGAGTGGCAGTGGTGTGAGTGGTGAGTGGCAGTGGTGTGAGTGGTGAGTGGCAGTGGTGTGAGTGGTGAGTGGCAGTGGTGTGAGTGGTGAGTGGCAGTGGTGTGAGTGGTGAGTGGCAGTGGTGTGAGTGGTGAGTGGCAGTGGTGTGAGTGGTGAGTGGCAGTGGTGTGAGTGGTGAGTGGCAGTGGTGTGAGTGGTGATTGGAGGTGGTGTGAGTGGTGAGTGGCAGTGGTGTGAGTGGTGAGTGGCAGTGGTGTGAGTGGTGAGTGGCAGTGGTGTGAGTGGTGAGTGGCAGTGGTGTGAGTGGTGAGTGGCAGTGGTGTGAGTGGTGAGTGGAGGTGGTGTGAGTGGTGAGTGGCAGTGGTGTGAGTGGTGAGTGGAGGTGGTGTGAGTGGTGAGTGGCAGTGGTGTGAGTGGTGAGTGGCAGTGGTGTGAGTGGTGAGTGGCAGTGGTCTGAGTGGTGAGTGGAGGTGGTGTGAGTGGTGAGTGGCAGTGGTGTGAGTGGTGAGTGGCAGTGGTGTGAGTGGTGAGTGGCAGTGGTGTGAGTGGTGAGTGGCAGTGGTGTGAGTGGTGAGTGGAGGTGGTGTGAGTGGTGAGTGGCAGTGGTGTGAGTGGTGAGTGGCAGTGGTGTGAGTGGTGAGTGGCAGTGGTGTGAGTGGTGAGTGGCAGTGGTGTGAGTGGTGAGTGGCAGTGGTGTGAGTGGTGAGTGGAGGTGGTGTGAGTGGTGAGTGGCAGTGGTGTGAGTGGTGAGTGGCAGTGGTGTGAGTGGTGAGTGGCAGTGGTGTGAGTGGTGAGTGGAGGTGGTGTGAGTGGTGAGTGGCAGTGGTGTGAGTGGTGAGTGGCAGTGGTGTGAGTGGTGAGTGGCAGTGGTGTGAGTGGTGAGTGGCAGTGGTGTGAGTGGTGAGTGGCAGTGGTGTGAGTGGTGAGTGGAGGTGGTGTGAGTGGTGAGTGGCAGTGGTGTGAGTGGTGAGTGGAGGTGGTGTGAGTGGTGAGTGGCAGTGGTGTGAGTGGTGAGTGGCAGTGGTGTGAGTGGTGAGTGGCAGTGGTCTGAGTGGTGAGTGGAGGTGGTGTGAGTGGTGAGTGGCAGTGGTGTGAGTGGTGAGTGGCAGTGATGTGAGTGGTGAGTGGCAGTGGTGTGAGTGGTGAGTGGAGGTGGTGTGAGTGGTGAGTGGCAGTGGTGTGAGTGGTGAGTGGCAGTGGTGTGAGTGGTGAGTGGCAGTGGTGTGAGTGGTGAGTGGAGGTGGTGTGAGTGGTGAGTGGCAGTGGTGTGAGTGGTGAGTGGCAGTGGTGTGAGTGGTGAGTGGCAGTGGTGTGAGTGGTGAGTGGAGGTGGTGTGAGTGGTGAGTGGCAGTGGTGTGAGTGGTGAGTGGCAGTGGTGTGAGTGGTGAGTGGCAGTGGTGTGAGTGGTGAGTGGCAGTGGTGTGAGTGGTGAGTGGCAGTGGTGTGAGTGGTGAGTGGCAGTGGTGTGAGTGGTGAGTGGCAGTGGTGTGAGTGGTGAGTGGCAGTGGTGTGAGTGGTGAGTGGCAGTGGTGTGAGTGGTGAGTGGCAGTGGTGTGAGTGGTGAGTGGCAGTGGTGTGAGTGGTGAGTGGCAGTGGTGTGAGTGGTGAGTGGCAGTGGTGTGAGTGGTGAGTGGCAGTGGTGTGAGTGGTGAGTGGCAGTGGTGTGAGTGGTGAGTGGCAGTGGTGTGAGTGGTGAGTGGCAGTGGTGTGAGTGGTGAGTGGCAGTGGTGTGAGTGGTGAGTGGCAGTGGTGTGAGTGGTGAGTGGCAGTGGTGTGAGTGGTGAGTGGCAGTGGTGTGAGTGGTGAGTGGCAGTGGTGTGAGTGGTGAGTGGAGGTGGTGTGAGTGGTGAGTGGCAGTGGTGTGAGTGGTGAGTGGCAGTGGTGTGAGTGGTGAGTGGCAGTGGTGTGAATGGTGAGTGGCAGTGGTGTGAGTGGTGAGTGGCAGTGGTGTGAGTGGTGAGTGGCAGTGGTGTGAGTGGTGAGTGGCAGTGGTGTGAGTGGTGAGTGGCAGGCAGCAGCGTAGCAGGTGATAGAAGGAGTAGCAGAAGCAGAAGCAGCACCACTGTATTGTACCAGGTGAGCGCGAGCAAAGGCATCACAGGGGTCCTTCCCTGTGGAGCATGTACGTGATATCCTGCACTGCATCCCAGTTCGCCTTTGGAGATGCTGCTAGAACGGATTCGCCCCCAGCAACACGACGTATCAGGTGGGTGATAGCAAAGGCGTTGGAAGGGTCCTTGTGAAGCACGTACTTGATCATCAAGTCTTGATGTCGCGCACTGCATCCCAGATTGCCTTCAGAGATGTTGCTAGGGCCGGACTCGATCGCAGCAGCAAAACAGTTCTGAGATGTCTCATGCACGACGTACCAGGTGGGTGATGGCGAAGGCGTTGGAGGGGTCCTTCTGAAGCACGTACTTGATGTCCCGCACTGCATCCCAGTTCGCCTTCGCCCTCAGGTGTGCCATTGCTGGTGGTGCCGAATTGCATCGGATACATGCCATGGGATACATGCCATGCCATGGGATACATGCCATGGGATACATCATACATGCCATGCCGTGCCATGTTATGCCGTGCCATGCCATGCCGTGCCATGTTATGCCGTGCCATGCCATGCCGTGCCATGTGGTCAAGTGGTGCAGTGCCATGCCGTGCCATGTCATGCCATGCCATATCGCGCCAGGCGCGGATTAGGTCAGGGCGACGCGGCGAGCAGGGCGACGCGGCGGGCAGGTGGCGACGCCGCGGGCAGGGCGACGTGGCAGGAAGGTGACGACGCCGCGGGCAGGGCGACGCGGCGAGCAGGTGACGACGCCGCGAGCAGGGCGACGCGGCGGGCAGGGCGACGCGGCGAGCAGGTGACGACGCCACGAGCAGGGCGACGCCGCGAGCAGTTGGCGACGCCGCGGGCAGGGCGACGCGGCGAGCAGGTGACGACGCCGCGGGCAGGCGACGACGCCGCGGGAAGGCGACGACGTCGCGGGCAGGCGACGACGTCGCGGGCAGGGGCTACGTCACGGGCAGGCGACGACGCCGCGGGCAGGCGACGACGCCGCGGGCAGGGGCTACGTCGCGGGCAGGTGACGACGCCGCGGGCAGGGCGACGCGGCGGGCGGCGAGAGCCTGCAGGGGCGGCGCGCGGTCGGGCAGAGGCTGCGCGCGGGCCTGACGAGTCTGCAGGGGCGGCTCTCGGGCCTGACGGGCCTGCAGAGGCGGCTCGGGGGGGGCCTGGCGGGTCTGCAGAGGCGGCTCGGGGGCCTGACGGACCTGCAGGGGCTGCTCGAGGGCGCACGAGGGCGCACGAAGGCGCACGAGGGCGCACTAGCATAGAAAGGCGCACGAGGGCGCACGTAAGGTAGGGCGCACGAGGGCGCTGCTAGCGGAATAGTGGGCCCATAGTAGAAAGCGGTCCTAGGTAGCAACCTAGGCTCGTGATACCATGTTAGAATCTAGAATAGAACGAGAATGGATGAAACTAGGTAGGAGGGGGATACAAGTAGGAAACCCTAACAAAGCTGTACCCCCTAAGGCTAAACCCACTATAGCCTACACAATATGAACATATAATGTTTGACACAGAGTAACTCCTGTGCAGCCATGGCCCCTGCGTAGATCTCAGCCTCACAACTGGAGCTGAGAACAGAAGACGAGCGGGTAGACCGCCACGAAACAGAGCCGGAGCCAAGGCTGAAGGTGTAACCCTGTGACGACCGCTGCGTAGCCAAGTCGTCAACCCAAGAAGCGTCTGCGTGACCAGTGAGGACAACTCGAGCGGTGGGCGGCGCAGCCAGATCTCCTCGTGCAGGCTGCCCTGTAGGAAAGCAGTGCTGAAGTCAAGAGAGTAAAGCTCGTAGTCACGCTGAGCGGCGACGTGCAGCAGAACCCGAAGAGTGGTCATCTTCGGGGTGGGGGAGAAGGTCTGGAAGAAGTCAACTCCCTGTCGCTGACTGAAGCCACGTGCAACGTAACGCGCCTTGAAGACAGGCGGAGAACCCGGCGGCCGCTTCACCCTGAAAATCCACATGCCACTGACGATGTTCGCCCCAGGTGGGGGAACCTCGTCAACGTAAGTGCCTGTGGACTTCCAGGATGCCATCTCTTCGTCCATGGCTGTCTGCCACGGAGAGGAGTAGGGACCCTCAATCGCCTCTGCGTAAGAGCGCGGGGTCGGGATGTCTGGTGCATCCGGGTCTCCCTCAGGTGCAATCAGCATGGACATGAGATGAGGCACAGCAGCTGCAAAGCACTCAAAGTCCTCCCGCCTGTCCTCAAGGACGTCCGTGCCAAGAGCACACTCACCCCCGACGGACGGAGGACAGACAGACTCAGACTCAGCAACAAGACTAGCAGCGTAGTCTAGACGACAGGCGGCAGCAAAGTCAACAAGCTCAGCAACTAGGGCAGACGCAGTAGTGGACTCAAAGGAAGGGTCAGTGACAACAGTAGCGAGAAGACGCGTGACAGTAGGACTGGCAGCACGAGCAAGGTCTGACGGCGGGTCAGCAACGTCAGGAAGAGAGGACGCAGGAGGAGACGGCAGAGGGACACGCTGTGGAGCAGTGGAAGGACGAAGTGCCATCTGGTGCGTGCCTGGGACAGCAGGAGGACGCTGTTGCGGAACACGACGACCAGTGCGAACAGCGCGAACAGGCGACGCAAGACGAGACTCAGGCGACTCAGGACGAGACTCAGGCGACACAGGACGAGACTCAGGCTCACGACGCTCCGTAAGACCCCTAGTCGGCCCAGAGTTAGGAGAAGGACCAGGCAGTGGAGAGGCTAGCTGTAACTGCGACTGCGACTGGACAGGCTGTGGACACAGTAACGTAGGAGTAGGACCAGTAGAAGGCGGGAGACCAAGAACCTGCTGAAGGAGGGGAACGAAGTACGGCCGCGGCCGCGCAGCGCCTCCGGAACCAGCAGAGACAGCACCAGTACCCCCAGTGCCAGGGTCTCCAGCTCCAACTCCCTCAGCACCACCAGCTCCAGCACCAGCAGCACCTCCAGCAGCAACAGCTCCAACTCCTGCAGCACCACTAGCTCCAGCAGCTCCAGTACCTCCAGTACGAGCACCTCCGGGACCAGCGGCTCCAGCACCTCCAGCAGCTCCAACACCAGCAGTACCTCCAGCATGTCCAGCTCCAGCAGCTCCAGTACCTCCAGTACGAGCACCTCCGGGACCAGCGACTCCATCACCTCCAGCAGCTCCAGCACCAGCAGTATCTCCAGCAGCTCCAACTCCAGTAGCACCTCCAGCGGTAGGCCCCCCAGCTCCAGCAGCACGGCTACAGCGCCGAGCGTACCACTCGCGCAGCTGCTGTGGAGAGAGGGGCTCCCGCCGTGACAAGACACCCGAAGGACCTCCAGACTCGGCACGCTCAGGCTCAGCACCCCCAGGCTCAGCACGCTCAGGCTCAGCACCCCCAGACTCGGCACCCCCAGTCTCAGCACCCCCAGTCTCCACACGCTCAGGCTCAGCACCCCCAGGCTCCGCACCCTCAGACTCAGCAACCCCAGGCTCAGCACCCCCAGGCCCCGCACCCGCAGGCTCAGCACCCCTAGCAGCACCAGAGTCGACAGCTACCTCGACAGGCTCGACAGGGTCTACCTGGGACACACCTGAGGGGGCAGGACCCTGAGGGGGGAGGGGGTCTACCGGAGGAGCACCTGGTGCTAGGAAGAGCGGCGGGGGGGGAAGAGGGGCAGTGCGGTAGGGAAAGAGACGGTAGTAAGATACCGACTCGTCAAACGTGACGTCCTGAGAGGACAGAATACGACGCGAGGTGGGGTGGTAAAACTGCCACCCAGGCGCGTCAGGGGGGAAGCCAAGGAAGACACAGAACACAGACGCATCGCCCACCTTCCCCGTCCACCGCAGAGTAGGTGTGGTCTCCGGCAAGGAGACACGAGGCTGAAGGTTGATCTGATGCGCAGCATACTGAACCGCGAACGGCCACAAAAAATGGGGAGCAGCCGCATGGATCATGGACGTACGAGCGACGTCCATGACCATGCCAATGCGGCGCTCAGCAATCCCATTTTGCTGTGGGGAGGCCGGAAGCGTGAACGTCTGGCGGATGCCCTCCGCACGACAGAAAGCCCTCAGAAGGTCGGAGGAAAACTCACCACCTCTGTCTGAGTGCAGACGCAGAACAGGAAGGTCCGAGCCGAAACTCTCACTGAGCTGGCGACGGGCAGCGCGGATCCAGTCGATCAACACCTCAGTGACCTCACCCTTGCGGCGCAAGGGGAAGACTGTGGTGTAACGTGAGTAGTCGTCAACGACCAGCAGAAAGTAACGCTCGTGACCCTGTCCACGGACGCTGGCTGGGCCCCACACGTCCATGTGGAGAGTCTGTAGGGGAGCCTCTGTCGGAGGGAAATCGGAGGAGTGAGGAGCGGCGCGCTGCCGGCCCTCGACGCAAGGAACACAGGTAGGGGCAGGCCCCGGAGGAAGGGGAGGGAGGGACCGGGGGAGACCAGAGACAAGGGTACGGGAGGCTATACCTCGAAGACTAGGCAGGGAGGGGTGACCAAGGCGGTGGTGCCAAAGGAGAGTCTCGTGTGACAGAGGGCGACACGAGCAGGGGGCAGACGCCGGACTAGACCTGGACGCGGCAGCAAACACCTGACCAGACGCAGCTACCTGACCAGACGTAGTAACCGGAGGAGACGCAGTAGTCAGTCTGTACAGGCTCGACCCAGGCCGACGGGTGAACGTGGCCAGGTGGCGGCCCGTCCGAGAGCAAGTGCAGTGTGTCACACGCTGACCTCCAGGGGTGAACTGGTCAACCCACACGTCTTGGAGGTCAGCTCCACTCACCAAGTTCGTAGAGAACGAGGGGAGGTGGAGTCCCGACAGTAAGCCCGACGGGGCCGCAGGACACGGTAGAACCGTGGAGGAGTGCGCAAGGACTGGGCCCCCAGAGGGGTCAGCCAGGGAGACTGCAACCGGCCGACTGAGCGGCATGAGTGTGGTGCTGTCGCGAAAGAAGGAGCGCGAAGCACCTGAGTCAAGTGTGAAGGTGTGCAAGGCCTCAGTAGGTGCAGTACCAGAGAGAGCAGACTCACCAGCACCTGGAGCAGCAAACTCACTAGCACCTGGAGCAGCAGACTCACTAGCACCTAGAGCAGCAGCCTCAATGCCCGGGTCGGGCGGAACACACAGGTAACAGTCACCCTCAGCACTATCAGTCACAGTATACATGGCAGCAAGGATAGCATCGAAATCAAGATCAAAGATAGCAACATTCTGCTTAAGCAGATCACCCCAGCGAGGGAGCTCAGCGCCGTCAGGAAATTGGGCACGCCAGGCGTCAGTCAGGCGACTGAAGCAGCGCTGTGAAGTGTGGGGCAGTCCGCACGTCTCGCCACGATGTCCGCCGGTGCGAAGAACGTAAGTAAAGGGACCAGCACCCCCAGACCTCCCACGCCCAGCGTACCACTCCCGAGCTGCTGGGGCGAC